GCAATCTAGTGGTTCGAGCTAGGAGCTTACTTTCTGAAAGGGGGTGCCGTATGAGGACTTTATTCTCAGAATATTACGACTTCATTCTCGAAAATGAAGCAAAAAAAATCTCTAGCCTGGCCCTAATACTCTGGTCATCTCTGGTATAGTGGATTCCCACAGACGGCTGAGATGTATGGTCAGCCTGTGCCTTCAAAAGCTCCAAGTGTTGCATAAATCATTGATTTCTGATTAAACTAATTTGTGATTTCAGTCAAGCTGCATGGCTATGAATCAAGCCTTTTGCTCAGTGCAATTCTTGGTGTTAAAAAGAGTTCAATAAGCAGCTGCAGATGGGGGGGCAGAGAGTGTTATTGTGTTGACAGCTCAGACGAGGTGCCAAGCATTCCTCTGACTGATAGCATGAGGCCTCTGCACTCAGGACACAGCCGTAATAACACCCACCAACCCAAACCTTCAGATTAGGCTTAATACCTTCTTTTGCTTCAATTTAGAGACATTTCAATTTTCTTGAAACCAGTTTGTAATTATTTAGCAGACAAAAGTCCCACATATTGTTTTATTGTTTTACTGTTTTTACATCTTCTAGAATATTCTCATCAGGATGAGTGACAAATATCTCATACATTAATACATGGTCTGAAAAGCTCTAATGAACATAATTTAAAAACTATTAAAAAAAATGTAAATTTAACACAATAAAAAAGCAAAAAGTGACACTAATGTGCTAAATCTAACCTAGAAGCTGGTATAATTGCTAGTGGGAAGCGGCTGTAGGTTTGGTTTACCTCGCATTCTAATGATGGTTGTTCTGGACAAATTCTTAAGTCTTAGAAATCCATCAGACCAAAGTACATTAACCTAAAATATAGGTTTGTTAATTTTAAAGTGATGGCTTCTTCTTCTCCGAGTGGCCATTCAGTCCATACTAATAATAATCCTCATATTTCTCTTGCTGCAGTCTTGGCTGAAATCTTTATTTTTTTCCGATCATGTTACCTTTTCCATTGATGGAAGCATTTTTCTAGGCGTTGCATTCAAATAAATTCACAGATGTGTGTCCATTTAACCCAAGGTCATCTCAAAAAGCAGAACCTTTCCATCCAACCTTTCCCATCTATATTCACCTATATCAGGGGTAACCAATTAACAATCCGCTGGGTCCGAATAAAGAAAATCATCAACCAGTAAAGGTCCAGAGACATTTTTAATTATAATGTTACTTTAAACACAATTTAACAATGAGATAAGATGCAGGTGTTTATGCATCCATGTTATACATTGACTTTTTAAATAAAAAAAAAATGAAAACGTCAGACAACATGGGGTAATTTATAAATATTTCAAATCAGGTTTGGTCCAGATTAACCAGCAAGTTGGTCTGGATCCAGACCACAGTCTGCTAATCTGTGACCTCTGATCTAGAGTGTGGAAATGTCTGCATTAGTTTCTTTAAAAAAGAAGAGAAAAAAACATTCACAGATATTCTGGCTTTCTGAGCTGACCTAAAACAGAAAAAGTCCTCCTGACGACCATTGAACCAGGTCAGGATGTTCATCCACCCCGTGATAAATCACAGAGCAGAATGAAAAACTGCAACAGTTTAAAATCAATGTACACAGATTTATCCAACTAAATCACCCACAATAATACGGACGAGGCAAGAGAGAATCTGCAACAATAAGAAAAAAAAAAAAAAAAACTAAAGGAAAAAGAACTCTCATTTTGGATAAAGTTTTTTTTTTAAAGCTTTATCCAAAAGCTAAACTAGCATAAAACTGTTGTATCACCTTGAAGTTAATATGCAGAGGTTCTGTTACCTCTACGTTGTCCTCAGTACTCGAGCTGAGGGGGGATATCATCCCCCTTCTTAAAAAAAAAACAAAAAAATCATCTTCTTAGATAACCATCCCCCCATACTATCCCCTGTATCATTTAATTATTGAATGTGTAAAATTTCTACTATATATTAACAGTAACGGCAATAATATTGCCATTTGAACATTTTGTGGGCTTAAAATCAAAGAGGTGTCCTACCATGACTATGAAGCTGATCCCGGTGGGAAATGAGTCCCTAACTGTAGAGGCAGTGATAGCCATGCCAGTCCAGGGACTGACTGCAGTTCTACTGTAAGGTGCCTTGGTCACGGTCAATGACCAGTGTACCTGACATGTAACAACCATAGCATGCATAGTGCTTTAGGTTAATAGAATATAATAATTAGGTTATATATGCTTCCAAAAAAACAACAAAATTCCACCATATCCACCATTTTTTTTTAAACTAGACTACTGGTTGTCCCCATGCAGAGTCACTAAAGAGCTCATAGTTTTTAGAAGGTGATGATGATCTGCACCATCGGATACCATGGAAAGAATGTTTTCCAAAGCAGCATAAGTACAGAGGGCCAAAAAAGTCCGTAGTCTAGATCAATGTTCCCTCTGACGTTTCATGCGTCTGGGTCACTGTGACATCATCAGAGCTGCTCGCTGTGAACACACCAATATTACACCTATTTTAAAACCAGATTCATAGCAAGTTACATGGTTTGTTTAAAAAAACAGAGTCCTGCTTTGGCCAGGCTGATGGTCCTGCTCTGGAAGAAATGAGACACTTTGATATAACTGTTTGTTTATATTAACATATTTACAATAACATTTTTGCTTTAGCTTGTGATACAGTATTAATTCATCTAACTCTTTGTACAATATTTAACTACATGGTTTTAGAGGTTCTACTAACATTAATATTTAATAGTAAAGCATTTCATGATGATAA